GACTAAACCTTTAAAATATCTGGGAAAATATCTTAGAAAATGTGTGTGTGTGTGTGTGTACTGTGAGGAAAAGACAATGATGTCAGACCATGGCTCTGTGTTTTTCTGATCCTCTCCAGTTGTGGATCCTTCCTAGCCTGGTGGGCGGGTCGGTGCTCTACTTCTTGTCTGTGGACCAATGGCATCGCGTTGCCGCCTGGCTCTATGGGAGCGGGCTCACTGGCTTGTTCGTCACCTCAACACTCTTCCACACCGCTGCATGGAAAATCAGCCACCTCCGGTCTGTGTGTGTGTGTGTGTGTGCATAGCAGAAAACGCTGGTAGGGATTTAGCAGATGTGCATGGGTGTCCTTCTGTGTAGACATTCACATCACACTCAGACATACACTTTGCTAATTATGACAGAGCCAGAAGGCCAGAGACCAAACAACAGATGTGGCGTGGTGATGAAAATATTTCACATCATCTTCGATTCACACTCTCTGAAAACAGGTCACTCTCATACGGAGAGAGTCAAACACACTCACATTAAAACCTTCCTGTCGCGTTCCTCATAGAACACAATAGAACACATTTTCATCTCATAAAGTTCTACGTTCTTGGTTTAACACATCATCAGATAATGAGAGTTACCTGTATTAATACATGATAAAATATACTACTAAATAAAGGTAATAACTAATAACCAATCCCAAAGGGTTTTGAAATACTGTGAGCAAGAAAACATAAAGTCAACTAAAGGATTCAGACTGTTAAAATAGACTGTATCAGTTTTATTTCTTACATATTTCTGCTATATTAGTGTGTATAGTAGTAATAGTATAGTAAAACAGTCTTTACAACTTTGAGCTTCTCTATAATAATATTTCTATTGATTACGACTAAAGATACGAAGGTTTTCACAGGCACCTGTGTTATATTTCATATATATTTGGGCTCCTAGCAGTTACAGAGCTTGTGCTGAGAAAAGGACCACCAGTGCATGTGGGCTATAGGGACGGTTTAAAATGTGTGTGACGGATATGAATGCATAAAAAAAAATAATCAAAATGGACTCCAGAGGGTTAACAGATAAATGGAGCTCACTTAGCTGAAAATTGTTAATGTGATTAAAACTGTCTTTTGAGAGATTTGAGTCAAGTTTCATTTTCAGAGTAGGTTTAACTGACAGTAAAACCTGATTGTTTCTCCGAGGTGGAGGTGTGGGAACACACTGCAGCTCAGTGTGGAACTACAGAACATCAGAAACAGCAGGAGAACAGAAAATGAGACTCAGTACCATGAATTTATTGCAACTCACTTACCCCCTGTATAAGCCGCTGCTCAGTAGGGTAGAAGGGGTCGTCCACTGATCGGCAGCCCGGTGGTTCAATTCCCGACTCCTCCGGCCCACATGTCGAAGTATCCTGAGTCGCTGGTGGTGTGTACCGTACCGTACAGTTACCACATAACTGCAATCACACGATCTGAGTGTTAACTTTGTTTTATTCACAATAACTTCCTCCAGGATTAACAAATCTATCCTCAAACAGCTGAGTGAGAATCAACAGGATTACTTCATCCTGATAACTGCATGTTAGCCTGAATTAGCTGAGTCACGTCCTTTTGTTCACACGTTACATTTTTCTTCGTTTATTTTTAATTCCCCCTTTTATTCTATTTTGTTGAAGTGCAGGTTTTTAATTCTTAACTGTGAAAACTATCCTGGCTGATCTCTAACACTTTCCATCATACCTGTAATTAAAGGGACCGACAGTCAGTTCATACATGGGCTCATGCTCATGATCCAGTCTGTACTTGTGCTTGTTTTTACGACAACAGAAGCTCCAGATAACTTTTAAACCAGCTTTGAAGAACTGGAAAATCCAGACTGGGCGTCAAATCATCAACAATTAAATCAAGTTAAATTGTTTTCCCACGTAATAACAGGACAAAACAAATAAGTTTAAGTCTTGCATAACCCTGAGCTCTTTGAGTTTGAGTGATTATTATTAGGACACGAGCAGATTTAACTGAGAAATGAAAAGAAATGCTTCTTCCAGCTCCTCCTCTGGCCTTTCACACACATGATGGTCCAAAAAGACAAAACAAACACTGTGTTAAAGGACGTGGTCAGGAGACTAGATTTCTCCTTCTAAAAAACCTGTCTGATTATATTTTCACAGTCTGGGACTCTTCATATTTCAGGAGTTACAGATGATTAACAGATGATGATTTTTCCTAAACGAGCGGTTCTGTCTCTTTGTCTGTGTAGGAAGCTGGAGCAGCGTTTCCACATGTGTGACAGAATAGCCATCTACTTCTTCATCGCCGCCTCCTACTCGCCCTGGTGGGTCATGTGATTTCAGGGGAAATAATAATAAGGCGTCTGAATAATGATGAATAACGACGATGTGTTTCTCCAGGTTGATGCTGAGGGAGCTGGGCCCCTGGGCGTGCCACATGCGCTGGCTGATCTGGGTCATGGCTTGTGTAGGATCCATGTACGTCTTCTTCTTCCATGAGAGGTAACACAGTCTCCCTCCGTCTCTCTGCTCTGTTCCCTCCGCTTTAACACAATTAACCCTGAAACCAAACTCCCCCCCCGGTCCACTCGAGTGTTTACAGCAAACGCCGGACCCGCTGTTTGAAGCAGAAACAATTACACAGAGAACTGGAGGTATTATCTGTTCATGTCCCACTTTTCTACCTGCAGGTACAAGCTGGTGGAGCTGGTGGGATACGTGGCCATGGGGGCTGTTCCTGCTTTGGTCATCCTGTCCATGGTGAGAACAAAGCACAGTCACAATCACAGTCACAGCCATCAGCCGGCTTCCTGCTGCTGTGTGGAAACCAGACAGAATCTAAAGAACCAAACCAGAAAACACTTGTTTTAGCCAGTTAATAAAAAAAAGGCCATAAACACTTTATTTTGAATATTTTCACGTCTTTTATCTAAAAATCAAAAAGCATTTTCATCTGGAGCTAGTTTGTGAACCACTGAACTACCGTGTCACTACGCTGGTCAGCTGTTTGAGTCAAAGAACTAAGTGTAGGTGCATCAGAACTACAAACCGACCAATCAGAGCACAGCTAAATTTGACCAATCAGGACACTGCTACAAATCAATCAATCAGAATAGCCAATCAGGATATGGCTACAAATAGATTTCTCTTTTCTGCTGTGACGGAACTTCTTCATATTTGGAACAAACTTTCAGTAGGACTCAAGGATGAGCCGATTAGACTTTGAGGGTCAAAGGTCAAAGTCACAGTGACCTCACAAAACACGGTTTTGGCTTTGTGAACGTGATATCTCAGTAACACCTCGAGGGACATTCTTCAAATTTGGCAGAAGCGTTCACTTGGACTCAAGGATGGAGTCTGGTGTCAAAGGTCAAAGGTCGAGGTCACTGTGACCATAGAAACTAAAAGAAAGTTTTACACAAACACTTTGAAAATTAATTTAGTTAAAATGTTTGACTAAAAAATGTTTTCTTTCCTCGGCCAACTCTTTAATTAGAGGTTCTCCTGGTGTGTTACAGGTGGAGCGCACAGGTGTGTGTGAACTGGCAGTGGGAGGTGTCTTCTACGTAGTGGGCGTGGTCTTCTTTAAGAGTGACGGCCTCGTCCCGTTCGCTCACGCCATCTGGCATCTTTTCGTTGCCGCCGGAGCAGGAATTCACTATTACGCCATCTGGAGGTACCTGTACTTACCTGGGCCGCTGCTGCAGACGGCCAGGTGACCAGCCGGAGATCACATGACTCCACACTGAGTCACATGACCCAAGAAAAGCGTAATTCACTCATGAGATCACTGTGTTTTGGAAACGGCTCACTGAAGCCGGACGTGTGATGACTGATAATACGGTATGATGATACTATACAGCTCATCACACCAGTCTGTACTGGTTATACTGGTCGCTGCACGGACGCCAATCTGTAGAGAAAGTGAGAAACGGCTGCGGGTGTGAAACTACAGTGAGTGTACCAGGAAGTTTAAATGACCAATGTTGAGTTAAAGGAACAGTTTGGCATTTTGGGAAATATGTTTATGCGTTTCCTTGGTGTTCAGATCGATACCACTCTCACACGTGTGTACGCTAATTAAGAAGCTACAGCCAGCAGCCGGTTAGCTTAGCTTAATTTAGCTTAGCACAGAATCCGTAAACAGGGGTGAACAAGCTGACCTGGCTTTGACCTGACCAAAGAATTAAAGTTACAGCTCAGTTGTTTAATCTGTCTTGTTGTCAGGCAAGTTACTGCTGCTGTGCTAAGCTAAGCTACAATGCTACTAGCTTTCATATTTACTTCACATATGTACATACGTGTGGTATTGATCTTCTCATCTAACTCTTTACAAGAAAGCAAATAAAGAGTATTTCCTGAAAAATGTCAAACTGTTCCTTTAAACTTCTGTAAGTGAACTGACAACATATTGTCTGTGACATCACTTCCTCAGCTTTCCTGAACATCTGAAGTGATGTGCCAAAACCTACCGGACACACATTCCTCAATAGTGGTGCTAACTAGCCGGGTCTAAATAGTGGAACTGACTTTATTTTACGTTCCAGTTTCAGGCCAGTATATAGCTTCTTCCTCTGAGGGCATTTAAACTGTAAACTGTGCAGCATCTTTGCTGTACTGGTCTTAGGTGATCAAAGACTACAGAACGTAATCTGCTGACCATGTAATATCTGTGTGATATGAATTAACTAACACCCTGAAACAGACTGACTGACCGTCTCTCTGTCAGGACGAGGTCGACTGATTAGTGGAACTGGCCTCGTTGTGATTTATATTTATCGTGAATCACACAAAATCGATTGTGATGCTTTACTGTAACGTGATTTAAAGATGAAAAGTTCATCATAATGTCACACTGACGACTGTATTCTGGGTCAAACGTTGATCGCACCGATGATCTCGTTCAGACGACCACGATTGGCCGTTGTTTTGTTGAAGTGATGCACTCTTATCCTGAAGCACTTTTCTATTAACAGCAGTGACGACTTCCCTAGAATTTCCTGAATATGACAGAAATAACACTTTAAATACATGTCGAGTATATATGCAAATTTTCCATTTTTATTTTCACAGTTTTGATTTTTATACTTAATCCAGCACTTCATAGGTCACACTTTCAGGTCTTTCCTAACCTTTAGTAGAGAAAAGAAATTCTGTTTTAACTTTTAGAAAACAGAGCACTTACTCAGGAAGTGGAGCATTTCAGTTTTGTTTTTGTTTTTTGTAAATCAGATGATCTATTTTGTAAAATTGTATGTCTGTGAAATCACTGTATTAAAGAAGAGACACTCTATTACACGTAGAGGATCTGTGTATTCTGTGAATCACGTTTCAAACAAACATTTATTTACAAAAATAATGTGCAAAATCAAACAAGGTTCATTAGGATGTGTGTCACATGACTCTGTGTGTGTGTGTGTGTGTGTGTGTGTGTGTGTGTGTGTGTCACTGCGAGTGTGTGAGGCTGGTGAGGGTTCGCAGTTGCAGTGGCATGGACACGTTGGTGTCTCGGTGCCACTGTGGTGTGGTGACGTGTGGAGGCGGGGTCAATACACTCTGAGCCACACCGGGGGTCTTCAGCAGCGACCACAACTCCTCCCCTCGTGTTACTATGGCAACAAGATCCTCCTCGTCTGAGCACCAGGCCACTGACCCCCCTCTGGTTACTGTTCTTAGCTTGGAGAGGAACAGAGACACCCTGCCACGGACAAACACACAGACACAGCACCTTACAGACGTGTGTGTGAGTGAGAGCAGGAAGTAAAACTGACGTGTTTGCCTGTCGCTCACCTGGGGATGAGGTCATGTGACCGCGACGCCAGCTTAGCCAGAGCGCTCATCAGAGTGGTGACGACTCTAGGGGCAGGGGAAGCCGCTCCGGGGGGCGGGGCAGATGAAGTTATCTCAAACAGCACGGCCTCCAACGCCTCGAAACAGGAAGTGATGAGCCTCACAGAGCAGCGAGAGTCACATGACACAGAGAGGTACTCTCCCAGCACCCACACCTGAGAGCCACGCGAGTTCAGCATTATTATGGCGTCAGGTTTTTAACATATTCTCTTGTTTTAACCACGTTTCAGTAATACACAGGATCCAACACACACACACACACACACACACACACACACACACACACACACACACACACACACACACAGAGTTTCATTACCACGTGTGTGTAGATTTCCTCTTTGCTGTAGACGTTGGCTGTGCTTCCAGCAAACTCCAGCAGCTCGTGAGACTGATCCACTACCAGAGAGGGGTGGAGCTTACACAGCCTCAGCAGGTGGCAGCTGAACACCCTGAAGAAACAGAGAGAGAGAGAGCGAGAGAGCGAGTGAGGAGACTAACACAAAGCCTCCCAGCAGCAGAGCGACGCTCAGGTGTGTGTGAGGGTGAATACCTGTGTATCTCTTTGATGTATGCGGGGAGGCTGAGGAGCAGGCTGCTTCTCTCCAGCATCACCAGAATCAAATGGGCTAAAAGCTTCTGGTCAGCGACCTACAAACACAGACACGATCCAGTTTATAGAAACTGACACTAAACATCCTGCACTTCCGTGTCCGGTCGCTGCATTTGTGATGAATTTGTAAAGAACATTTAAATCTCTTCACCGCGACGACCGTGTTGAAAAAGATGTGCAACATCACAGGGACGGTCTGCGCGCACTGAATAACTCTCGGCCAATCAGCCGCCTCGGCCAGCATCTCGTGGAGCGTGCTCAGTCTGTCGATCGTGTCACCTGTGGAGGGAGAAAGAAAAGCACAATGATTTCACCAGCCGTGTTACCAAAATAAAAGCCAGAGGTCAATCTGCCAGAATGACCACGATGAGCACGGTCAACACTTCCTGAGAAGACGACTGTAATCTGTGGCAACAGGTTATATAATATATAAATATTCACTGTGGAATAAACAGACAAGCTGTTTCCATACTGCCTTTCTTTATGATAAGCTCCAATAATAATAAAATTAAACTTTATTTGTCCCTTTTATATAAGAAATAAGCACAAACTGATTTACAACAACAAAAAAAAAGACAAGCACCAAGTGATTCACATGAAAAGACAAAAAATAAACATGTTGATCTTAAATGAAAAACATTAAAAACATTAATGTAAAATGAGAAAAAAATAATGAATAAAATAATAAATCATTAATTTCAGTTAATTGGTTAACGAGGCGTTGTGTGCGAGGAGGAGGAGCTTGAAATCAATTCTTACTGTAACAGGAAGTTAAACTGGACTGATTAAGCTCTCTCCTCTTGGAGCCAAGTATTCCTTTCAAATGTGTTACTATGGTTACCTGACCCTGCCTCCACTCGAAGCAGGTAGAGGAAAAGTCCTCTGAAAGAAGTGCTTCGAAATGCGTCCAATGAGAGGAGGCCGCGTCCGCATGGCTCAGAGATGGGCGTGCACGTTAACCTGCAACACACACACACACACACAACCAGTGAGATGTTGGTAGAAGATGTGTGTAGGTGTAGGTGTGTGTGTGTGTGTGTGTGTGTACCTGAGCTGCAACACCAGTGTGGCAGAGAGACAGGGCAGGTCCAGCAGTGTGTGCAGCAGCTCCACTGCAGTTTCAGCGGTCACCAGAGAGGGCAGCAGATCCACAAAGTCATCCACCACGGCCGGACTGTCCCACGCCAAGAACTGCAGACACACAGGGAGTGTAAGCAGAGATCCTGCGCCTCACACACCTTGTGTTACATGTATTCCTCACTAGTTCACAGCAGGTATGTGTTGAATATTAAAAAAGACCTTCAGCAGGTTCGGGAAGGAGCGGGCGTACTGCGGGACTCGGAGCCGCAGGCTGTCCAGGTTCAGCCGGAGGAAGCGTAGAAGCTCGTGAGCCAGGAAGGGGTCGCTGAACAGCTCGGCAGGAAACCGACCAAACACCAGCCTCCACACGCCGTCGCAGTCCACTGCTGCCAACTCACCTGAACAGGTTCACAAACACAGTTCAGCAACATTTTAACATGAAACAAGGAACTGAACAGAAATGTTTCTTATTATTAGGTCGTTACCCCAAAGAATCTAATGTAAAACAGATGACAGCACTGTCATGGAAACATGTACATAGATAGGCCAAGGGTTAGTACATGGTTAAAGGAATTGTCTGTATGTTAGAAAACATTACTTAAACATTACTGTGTTTTATTTTAGCTCCATTTGTCTTGTGATTATTCACTGTCTGAACAAACTTATTACAGTATGTACATGTGATCTGGAGAAAGAGAGGACAGACAGACAGACAGACAGACAGACAGACACACACACACACACACACACACACACACACACACAGACACACACAGACACACACAGACACACACACACAGACACACACCATGGTTGAGGTAGAACTGTGCGATGGGCAGCAGGACTCTGGCAAACGTCAGGTCTGAGCTGAGCCGACCAAAGAGCGCCTTGACGCACGGGAACGTTCGGTAGACCAGCGAGGCGTCCTCCACACACACACAGTCCAGGATACACACCGCCTCCACCAGACACTAGGAGAGGAAATGGGACAGACACAATAAGGACACCAGTCTAGTTTTATCTCATCTGGTTCTTTAGTTTTTACTGAGTATTTCTTTTTGTTAGTGATTTCCTTCATGAGTATCCGTCTGTTCTGTGTGTAGGTGTGAAAGATTAATAGCATAGCAACAGAAATGAGCTGCTGTGTTCTTCCTTAATAATCATAAATCTGATGTTCACTGTTATTACAGCCGATGTCCTGGACGTTAGCAGAAGACACTGAGCAGATAATCACGTGCTCAGTGCCATAAACACAGAGGGGACGGGACGGGAGGACGAAGCAGACACTGAACCACTCTGCTACACAACCCTGCGGAGTGTGTGACTGTACTGTTTGCATGTCTGAGACATGGGCTCACCGCTTTCTGCAGCTCTGTGTCCGTCCTTTTATGTGCCTCTGAGACAAAGACAAGAGGACACATCACAAACTTATCGCATGCTTAAGTTATTGATTCAAAATCTGCATAAACACCTACGTAAATGACTTTTTCATCATCTAACACACACACACACACACACACACACACACACACACACACACACACTCACTGCGGTCGCTCTGTTCGATGAGGCGTAGGCAGTACTGGAAAGCCTTCTCCCTCAGACGCTCCTTCGGAGGCAGCAACCGGCTGGAGGAGGACGTTGCTGAAACCATGGAAACCACCGATCCGTCCACCTCCGACCGGTCATCTGCGACACGAGAGGTCAGGAATGAGGAGTCACGATTCAAAAACCTCCTCAAACAAATTACGGCTGAAGATAATCAAAGCCCACGTGAACAGCCATCAGCAGCCTGTTAGTTGGTTTTTTTATTACGGAAAATGTAATTATTGGATGTCTTGATTTACAGGAAGAAACAGTGAACTACTGCTGCAATGTTGATGAAGAGAAACGTCAGGTTTAGTGTCACAGTTAGCTTCATCAACGCTACTTTACTACTGCTTAAAAAACAAAGTATTGTGCAGCAGGGAAACATGGGAAAGAGATTTATAGAATAATGACAGATGTTAACTTTGATTTCCTCTGTTTTCTTAAAGGTACCCTGTGGAGCAGTGTTTCTAAGAGCGGGGGACACGTGCACAAGCTCGCAAACTCCTCCCAATGTTTCACACTATTCCACCGATCAACAGTTGGCGGTAAGGCACCGAGAAATGCAGCAATGCAGAGGAAGACTGTCAGGAAGTAACACTGGTCGTAAAAAAACGCCGGGTTTTAGGAGGAAAGACGAAGATTCAACAGGGTTGTTTGTCCTCGAGGATCCACACGATGTTTGGTGAGTAACAGTGAATGAAACACAAACTCCACAGAGCACCTTTGAATTAAAGCCTTAAAATGAACCCGCTATTTGAGTGACTGTTAGAAATGTTTGAGAGCGAAACTTCCCGAAGCCGTTCACCCAAGTGTGGAGTGCAACAAGACCCACATCACAATGAGCTATTTCACAACAGTTAAAATCCACATATTTACATGGATTACATACAGTATAGAGAATAATCTGAAGATCACAATCATCCAATCAAGGAAGTCAAGAGGAAAGAGAGAAAAAGAAGGTTTCCTACACCTCTGCAACACACCACATGCAACATGTAGTATGTTTAGTGTAGTAGTATCCGTGATTAAATCATGTTTCCAAAGTCATGAGAAGATTGAATTGAAGGCGAAAAGCACAGACAGCAGTGAGAGTGAAGTTACCAAGTCACAGATCTCTGGTTAGAAATTATTTGTTAAATCAAAAGTCGTTATTCTGTGAATCATGATCATAATCAGGTGCTGTGAGTTGACCTGCCCCCCCCCCCCCGAGGTGTAGGAGTTAAGGCCGTCATGTGCATGCAGGGAAGGTCCACATACTGACATATCTTACCATTGGAAAAGGAGTGGGAGTGTGAGAGGGAGAGGCTGAGCTGCAGCCTGTTTGCTGGAGATGATGAAAACACAGATCAGGTGACACGAGTGACATGAATTCATTTCAGCCTTCGCGGCTCATTCTCTGAGGCTGATGTTCCTTGTATGTACTCTGCAGCTGTGACACACATTAATGAGCTTCTCTCGCACGAGAAGGCAAAAGGTTGTGGTTTGTATCAGAGTCATACCAGTATCAGCTGCGATGTTGCCGCTGGAAACCGAGTGGTAGGTGAGAAGCCAGTGGCGCAGCATGGAAAAGGAATAAACATTCATCCACTGGTCGTCAGTGAAGCCTTGGCCCACACACAGCACAGTGAAGAAATCCCCGGACACCGTCCCGTCCAGCTCCGCGATCGGCGCCGGCTGAGACACACACACCAAACAGCACGGTCGAAAAAACTCTGAGCCGTCTTTACAGTTCTGGTGTCACATCTCAGTGAAGATCGCTTCTTACCTGACGTGACCTGGGCCCTGTGAAGAATCCTCCAGAGGAAGCCCCGCCTCCCTGCGTGATGCTCGCATAACGCAGCCAATCAACAAGCTTTTTGCTCAGGAGGGTCAGGTGATCTGCAGAAAGTACACAATAACTGGATGCAAGTAACGCTGTGCAGTTTTTAAAAATGCTGAATAATGCAATATATTTCAATGTTTTCTACACTTGGTTTTAATGTGAACGCTATCACTTATTTCTCTGTTTGCACATTATGTAAATACCTTTGTAAATATCTTTGCTTTTGTACATACCTTCTTATTCATGGTTGAGTTGTTCATTTTCTACTTTATTCTATTGTTAAACTTGTTTATTTCCTTCTACCTCGTTTCCTGTGCTGCAGTAACAAGTGAATTTCCTCGGTGTGGGATCAATAAAGGTTTATTTTAACTTCTCTTATCTTATTAAGTCAGGTGGAGAGATAGGAGTGGTGTGAAAAGGCCGGACAATCGCTTGATGACTGATTTAAATGTGCTGGAAAACGTTTGTCTGATTTGTCGGCCTACCTTCAGAGAGGCACTCGGGGCTGTGTGTGAGGACGGTGTTGAGGATCGGCAGCGTGTGTGTGAGCGAATGAGCCGGCGCCTCTGACTGACGGCTCTCCAGGCTGCGAAGGAGCTGAGTGCATAGTGACGACAGCTCGGCCCTGGATCCGGCCTGTAGGGGTCACAGTGTGTGAGAGAAAGATGGCGTTTAAGTTTAGATCTGAAAACACAACAAGCTCCTTCAGCGTGTCACTTTGTGCTGGAACCAGTGAAGCTTAATAGCGCTGTTCCTCTTTCCTCAGAGAAGGATTTTCACAAAATGCACACCACGCTGTCTAAGGTAAGTGTTGCAGCATGATGTAACACATGTCTCCGAATAATGAGGATGAAGGTTGGACACCTGTGAGAGCAGCAGGGCAGCGGCGTAGCTGTTGAGCTGACTGATGTTGTCTTGGTTGTAGTTCAGTTCCTGACCAGGGAGGGGCAGAGTCTCTCTGAGCACGGCCGAGCTCAGCACCTGAAGCTGCTCCACCGGCGAGGAGAGGAGAGATAAAAGTCTCTTCTGCAGCTCTGCGGGTAACCTTTGGTCAGTGACAGAGGAGACATGAGACGGGTGTCGGCTGCACAAAGGCAGAGAGGTTAAACGTTAAAGTTCAGACAGGATATCAAACAGTTTGGAGCAGAAAACGACAAAAGTAATCTACTTTCTTTCTTTTCTTTTTTTAAATCTCTCAGGGCAAAAACACTCCAGGGCTCTTTGAAAGTTTTTTTATCATAGTCAAGATGTTGATAGTTTATTATAAGAAGTGTGACACTGAGAGGAGGCTGTGATGTGCAGTGCTGAAAAAACACACAACCCAGATGGAAAGGTTATTGACTGAGCGGCTGAGGGGTTGTGGCTCCGCCGTGGAACCACCGACAGTCATGGGAGTTTATAGAGAGGAAGAGAGAGAGGGTGAGGAGGAAAGGAGGAGGTTGGTTGAGAACAAGCCTGAAATGTGCAGATTAAACATGAGTGTGAATGGACAGTGGCTGGAGGTGCAGGCTGGAGCAGCTCTTACGTCCTGGTGTACTTGGTGGCAGAGAGGATGAGGTGCAGCCTCTGCAGGGAGTCGATCGTCTCATGGCCGAACTCCTTCCCTTGGAGCAGCTTCACCAATCTGCTGTAAAACTTCTGCAGCTCAGACTCCTGAATCTCCCTGAAACAGTGACACACAGTGCACCTGTTGGTTTGGTCTCTGCAAAGCCCTTTGACTCATTGCTTATTAACATTTTACCACCCGATCGACTGACACAACATTAAATCAAGCCCATATTTGATCAATCACGAACACCTTTGGCTGTTTACCAGTTTAAAGTAACAAACAAAACCAATATCGCCGGTTAGAGTTAGCTCGTTTCTCTCTGGGTAAACTGCGATAAACTGAAGGCTTTTTGACATTTTATATTGTAAATACACAGGTAAAATACAACAGGTGTGTTAGGGAGATCAGTTATTAGCTGCTTTCCCACCTGTGACAGAGGACTGTTAGAATAAAGTAACTTCAACGCGCGGTAACGGTTTGACAGGCTAGCGGGCTTTAGCCTCGTTAGCTTAGCCGAGGAAATGCTGATAAAACGGTGTAAACAAATCGAAGAGAGGAGCTGAAGGCGGCGGAGAAACTTCTTCCTCTCCGTTTTCTTACCTGGCTTGTTTAATTAAACTCTCTGAACCGTGAGAGTACATCCTGAGAGAGGGAGAGGGACATCACTCCGCTGCCCCGGTCTGCAGCGGAAGGTAAACAGTCCGGTCCTTGATCGGGTCCTGACTGAAATCACATGACACGACTTTAGTTCCGCTTCTGCTTCTGCTTCTTCCGCTTCTGCTTCTTCTTCTGCTTCTGCTTCTTTTTCCTGGCAGATATCTATATACGCTTTTTTTGGAGGGTTGTCTAGTGATTTTTCTCTCTTTTTTAACTTCCTGTTTAGAGGTCATGGTGTTGGAGGTGTGTCAGGAGGGTAGAGCCTCACCTGAGCCACTTCTCCTGAAGGTTATATAGAGGACTGGAGGAGGAGGACCCTCTTTCATTGTGGTTTATCTTTATTTTATGTTTTTATCGATTACATGTTTTACACTTCCACACATTCATACACTCACCTCACATCTGATATACTTTAATTACTTGTGTGGTCTCCCTTGTTTTGTTATGAATTTTGAGCTGGTTCATGTGAGAGTTCATTGCGGGAGGTTTAAATCCTGGACGAGCCCTCGTTTTTGTCTTGAACCAGCTCAAAACAAGGGAGACCACACAAATAATTAAAGTTTAAAAGCAAGTGAAATGCTTCATGTATTCTGTCCACTGGCATCATCGCTTCTACAGCCTCTACTGAGAGTTTCCCTCCTCCATACTTCAATAAAAACACTTTCTATTTTTGTTTTTTAATAAATTCTCTTTGACACTGATTTCCCAACTTGGCTAATGTTGCTCGTCCCACCTCCATTTCTGTCGACTGTCTGCTCTTTCTCTTACGTGTCCTGCGACTACAGTCTAAACTAGGTGTCAGCATGTTTCTCATATACATGTTAATTCAGGTGTTTGTTTAAATGCCTCTTTATATGAATCTCTTAAGTTCTTGTCCATTAGCTGTCAGGCTTCTAGCGGTCCATCTCAAAATATAAAACATAGTAGTTTAGTAGTTTAGGGAGGATCCAGGTCTTCGTTACTTATCATTTCATCTTCAGACACACGCCCACAGACTGTCACTCACCAGCTGAGACTTTGCCTCAGAGTCACAGGAGTAAGTCATTGGTCCATGTCTCCTCTCTGGTTGTTCCTGTGATTGCCAGCGGTCTCTCTCTCTCTCTCTCTCTCAGCTGCAGACGACATCACCAGCTGCATCTGATTTCTTTTTTGGCCCCTGGTTGTCTGCTCTAACCTGAACTCTGGGTCTCAACAGTAGTGGGGCTCCTTAACCTTTTTCTGAATCCCCCCCCCCCATAGCACTTCACAGGTTTATTACACTTCTCCACACCGCCTACAGCGGTGCTTTCCTCTACATACAGCGGCCACAGGGACATATCTTTAGTGGCTGCAGTACCGCAAGTGGAGCCTTTCATATGGTCTGAGTGACTGAGCGCACCGTGTAACCAGGTGACACCCTTTTTGGCAGTCCTTTCTCTTTAAATGCGATAAGCACTGCAGAAGTATTTCTTTCATTTTGGGGATTTCCCATTTGAGTCACATTTACAATGTGCCCCCCCCCCCCCTCGTCTGATATCTCCACTGACACATCATGAACCCTTCTACTTGGTGTGAACCTGCTGCTCCTTTTCCTAGGAAACGCTTAAGTTTCAGAGCTTTAGCCTGATGATCAGATGATTTTCAGATGATCCTTCTGGCCTTCCTTCGTTGGCTTCTGATGTCGCTTTCTTGGGAAACGTATCCGCTCCCATCTCTCTCTCTCTCTACTGTCTTCGTTTCATTCTCCCTGGTCACCAACTCCCTCTCCTCTACCAGTCATGACTCCACCTGAGGGCGTGGACCAGCCCTGATGTTACTTCATGCCATGTCACGTCCAACCAAACCCCACCAACGTCAACCGTTCGCCGACAGCGACAGTCGGCGAGTCCCGACCTCAGTGGATCTGCGATCTCTTGTGTTGTGACGACTCTTTTAATTCTGCTTTCACTACACTCAAACCAAACCGTGTACACATGAAACTTTACCCTTAATTGAATCTTTATTAAGGACACAGCTCATCGTAGATGATTTTACAGCTACAGTTACTTCACTTGATGCAAAGCTACTAGCTACTAGCTGCTAGCTGCTAGCTACACCTGAAGGCCTTCAAACCCTCTGCACATTCTGACCTGTGGTTTAAAAGCAGAGTTATAATCAGTCACATTAATAACAACCACGTCTCATTTAGATCATTATTGTGCATGTTGGTTCACTGTCAAAGTCCAGACAAAAAATTTGGAGAAAAGACAAAAAAACAGGAGGAAGAATAATAAAGTACAGGTTACTACAGGTTTCTGAGGCACTGATGGAACAAAGTGAAACTTATGCATTCAACAATCACTTTTTATTTCAATTGTGAAATACAGTTCAGGAGAAATGTGAAAGAAAAAAGAAATAAAAGGAATTATTAATATGTTATTGCTCAGTCTCTTGGCTGTTTACTCCAGACTTCTCCCATGACTTCACCTCACAGATAAAGCTCTTACCATGGGATTTGTAATCCAGTGCGTAAAAACGCAGCGCTATCAGGAGCAGAAATGTCATTGAAAAATGAAAAGTGAAACGTGCTCATTGCCCTCTCAGTATCATTGGTGGAGGATGTGTTCAGATCCTCTTCAAGCAGCAAGACTGCAGTTTAAAAATAGTTCTCTCAGGTCAATGTGAGCTACAGACTGGCAGCGCTTTGCCTGGTTTATCGACATCATGCTGTTGAACAATGATTGTGAATTACAGTCTATAAAGCACTTCCTGTTCACCCAATATAAACTTATAATAATAATAAGTGTCTATAAGAGTGTATGATCATTAATAATATCTTCATAGGTCGCAGACAGACTCGTCCTCACCTCACTGCAGTGAACTTGTTATTTCCATCTGTGCTCACACCGCCCACCTCCGCTCTCTCTCTCTGTCTGTCTCTCTCTCTCTCTCTGTGTCTCTCTCTCTCTGTCTCTGTCTCTCTCTCTCTCTCTGTCTGTCTCTCTCTCTCTCTCTGTCTCTCTCTCTCTGTGTCTCTCTCTCTCTGTCTCTCTCTCTCTGTGTCTCTGGCGGTGTGCGGGGCCACAGCTCCCATGCGCTCCTCAGCCTGTTTCAAGGTTCTCTTTCTCTTGGACACATGGAGACAACCTGAGCCTCCGGGATCTGGACTGAAACAACCGTGATTTTTTAAAAAAAGAAAAAAAAAAAGAGAAGAAAAGAGAATAAAAGAGAAGAGAAGAACAAACTACCACGCCTAAATCAAGTCTGATTTCCCTCCCGGACTATTCATCTCAGGTAGGCAAAAAAGAAAATTAAATAAAAATAACTCTGATCACGTTCCTGTTGTGCAAACGTAGAAAGTGTTGATCCAGTGAGAAGTAATAAGACCACTGGTCGGTGGAGTGGCCGTGCAGGTTTGTGAACTTGCGCCGGGTTTGAGTGGAAAAAGCGAGAAGTCACACGGACCGTGTCACCTCTCTCTCAGACCGTCGCCACAGCCGCGCTGCGTCTCGTCTGCAGCGGCGTCACGACGGAGGAGAGGAGCGCAATTCCACCGCAAGTCATTGACACTCTCATGAGTAGTGAATCACTCTGATGATTAATCACAAGGTGTGAGAGAAACCAGTTTGTCTCTCTCCCTCTCTCTCTCTTGTTTGTGATTGTTGTTGTTTGCTGTTCGTGTCCGTCATCAGATCCTGTGGTTTGCGCACTCGCCGTCTTTTGGCTCTTGGCTCATTCGTGAAAAGGTCATTTATCTGACATTATCAAAAAAGAAATGTCTGGGATTCCTGCAGCAGGTGCAGACTAGAGAGCGGACAAAGGGATCCAGTGAGAGGGAGGCTCGGGTCAGGTGCACTGAGATGTCACTGCATCCTGCTGATTTACCACGAGCCCAACTTTTAAAATGCCATTTCACTGAAGCTGCTTTAAAGTAACTGTTCAGTAACGTGCTCCTTTACAATGATGCACACACACACACACACACACTCACACACACACTGCACGTAACAACTAATGTGCATTAACTTTTAACCCCTCTGTCCGTCTGCGGCCAGTTTTATTTACAGTAACATAACTTTATATATCATGTAGAGACACGCTGAGGAAATCAGTGGAAAGTGCTGATGTGGGACTTTCATACACTTCTGCACAGAGTCTGAATTGAGTGAAAAAAGGCACAAAAATGAGTTGAAATAATACAGATGGACTATTATAGTTTCATTTCTGACATATTTCTGCTGCTGGTGTGAACAAATAGTGACTAAAGATATGAAGGTTTTCACAGGTGCCTGTGTTATATTTCATGTCTCTGGTTCCTGGCAGTTTATAATTAGTCAGACTTAGAGTTTGTGCTGAGAAAAGGACACGGTGCATCTGAGCTATAGGGGTGATGTGTTAAAATGTGAGACAGAAATTAATTACTAAAAAAAATCATCAAAATGGACTCCAGAGGGTTGAAGTATTATTAACCCGAGAGCTCTCCACGAGAAGACGTACTTCAGTCTCACTCAGAGGCCGATACAACTTTTGAAAACTGTCATAACTGGAAAGGAAAACTCATCGAAATGACAAATCTTTCTTCTGCAGAAGTGAAATATTAGATGGTTCACTGCACCTGACTCTGCCCTTTCAAAAAAAAAATCATGCAAATTGTGCTGCAGCGGACAGAGGACACAGACAGAGCCCAGATATCACATTCCTATAGGCTTCAGCTATTCTGCTGCACAATGGAGTCTTTATGAAGGTTCGCACACCTGGACCAATCATATCTGTCCATCAGCCCCGCTGGCCAGCCAATCCCGGCACAGCACACTCACGGTGAGCCCGAACACCACCTTTATAGGACCGTTGAGCCTCATGTTGTGCACACTCAAAGTCGTAAAGTCGTAGAGATCCTTAGAGACAGACAGAAAGCATCATCGCCTCTGTGCTGCTGGAACATGTTATAAACTGCATGTGCTGCACAATGGAAAGTAAAACACTCTCTACCGGTTCAATGACTAAGCTGCTGTGTTTGACGTTGGATTGACTGTAATCTGCGTGAGTCAGGGCTGAGTGGCACACGACTGCCGGTAGATTAGATTTCCACTGTGATGTCCCTGACGTGAATTGTTTGTTTGTGTGTGTGTGTGTGTGCAGTATCCAGCTGTGGTCGGCTGAGAGTAAAGTTAATCTGGGTCACACTGTGTGAGGCAAGCGCATACATATTTCACATTGTGGTTTGTGCACATTTCAGAGGAAATTAGGAGGAATTCACTGATACGTGTGGCTCCAGTGACTCCACGCTGATCATTTGGGCTTTTAAACATCACAGCGATGTGAACAGAGAGGCCACAAACAAACTATGTCGCACCTACACACTCTGCCTCTTTGCTTTAAATGACCAGATCAACATCTAGATCAAAAGTCGCATAGATCAGCTGCTGGAGATTAGACCAGCATCATGGAAAATAAGTGGAAATCGGTTTGTGTTTCCACTTAAACAATTCATCATTCATCACTCATCACTCACAAAGCTGAGTGAAAAGAGAATAAAAAACAAACCTAATCAATATTTCCTCTCCACTTCCGATATCACCACAAAACACTGAACCGACAAAGTATGAGTCGACTTGTTTTCAAAGAGTCTCAGTTATTGGAGCAGCAAAAGAAATAAAACTATCAAGTTTATAAAATATGAAATAAGAAATGATAATAATATAAATAACAGCATTGACCATCAGTTATCTGCAGCATCATATCATCTGTTTGTTCACTGCTGTCATCTGATGAGGTGATCACTGCACGTCTCTGTGAAATGATCTGTGTCACCAAAATGTGACTCTTAACATAAATGAATCTTTTTGCTAAACGGTGAAAACATCAGGACGATGGAGATGATAAATAAAAAAAATATCTCTCTGTTTTCTACTTGTTTGTTGTTGTGGTCTCGAATAGCAGCTTTCGATTTGCACAGTGTTGCAAGATGTGGATTAGTGCACTATTTTCCTGAGGGTTAATCTCTGTTGTTATTTGTTGTCATTCATGAAACTTTCTGATGAACAGGTTTGACTCAGACTCGAGTGTATTTCCAAATCTAAAACATTTGTGGGATTTCGTCAATATTTTCTAATTTACTGATGTAGAGAAACTAGGAAACAAGAATTAATAAAACACCCACTTGGTCCAAATAACATCAGAGGACAGTAACGATTGAGCTGCAGAGTCCGTAACTGACTATTTGTGTGTGTCATTCTGTGGACATTTCAAGACCTTACAGTAAAAACATTTGCATTTTAAAATGCAAATGTTGAGTCTATTTTAGATCCAGAGTAGACACGGCTGTTATTAGTCAGGCGCACACATTATATGTGAAAACAAAACGCAGAAAACTGTATTTCCTTTGTTGACAAAGTGATGTTCTGCATTCATATTGAACCCACTGTATGATTTGTCGCTGCGTGTAGTAAAATAACAGTTATCAGCTGTAGTATGTCCGGTACAGGAGACATAAATCTCCAGCGAGACAGCAGTAAAAGGTTGAAGTCGTCAGTGGGTGTGAGACAATAATGGAAACAAATGTTGTTGCTGCTCAGTGCATCCGAGTCCTGCAAGACGCTACGTCGTCATGTCAGCGTGTCTGCCTCTCTGAGGTCTGCTGATGCTGAAAAAAAAAAAAAAGGGAAAATGCAGGGTTTAGTTTGAGGACACACACACACACACACACACACTGCTCTAAAAACGACAATCAACTCCCCTGACCACATTACTATAAACAAAAGCAGCTGACTGAGAAGACTAAAAGAGAAGAGAGGAAGAGAGCTACTACACACATCTGGTTTGAAAAGGAGGAAGCAAGGATGAGTTTTCTCGGTAATGAACTCCAAAATAAGAGAAGAGAGAAGAGGAAACATGAATGTGGTTACTGTAGAAGTCTATGTGCGTGTATGTGTGTGTATGTGCGCTGCGTAACTTCTGCATGAGTGCATGGGTGTGTGTTAGTCTGAGTGCTTGTGGTTTCATCATCTGCTGAGTGTAGCAGCACATACACACTCCAGATACAAATAATAGCTTCAAGTGTTCAGAGAGTGTGATATTTATTTGACGAGTAGCTCATCATTGATTTAGTTCACGAACCGTCTGAGCCTCAGAGGAGCGGAATGAGTCGTTTACTGACTGACTGAAAGTGTGGTAAAACAGACCGCTCAGTTTAACTCGTACCTGTCTGTTTGTGTGTTTATCTGCAGCATGAAACACACAAGCTGAATTTTTTTTTTTTTTTTTTTTTTTTTACATGCATGATGCAGACGACAGTTGTATGCAAAAGTGTGAGTGATTGTGTGTGTTTACATGACTAATGACATCAGATAGCCCTGATTTGCCTAGTCACAAAGCAGGATTATAGGATAACACCTACTAGCCAGGCAGCATGCAAATGCTAGAGGCGCATGGACAGCATGTATGTGTGTGTGTGTGTGTGTGTGTTTGAAAGAGACTGAAATGATGGAGAGAGGAAACCAAGTGGGAGTAAGAGGAAGATAAAGAGAGTAGAAATATGTCTCTGGAAAAGTAAAAAGAGGCAGGAGAGGCCGGTGGAAAGACGTCAGTTGATTGAAGTTTGTGCGTTTGGGAGGGAAACAGATGAAGTGGAGAGTGTGTGGGACCCAGACGAACACAGCCTCACTCTGCTTTAGTTACACTCCCTGAAGACTCGCACATTAGCTGTAAAGCTAAAGTTAGCCACCTTGTGCTAACAGAGATGATACTCTGCAAGTTCATCTGAAGCATGCAGAAGGTGGAAGTCAACATCCCTCGTAACCTCGCAACGCTCTGCACGGGCCGCCAGTCCAAAGAAATGATAATTACATCATCAGTGTGTGACTCACTTTTATGGATTTACCCTTACAGATAATCAGTGATATCATTTCCTGCTTTTTGTTTTTTTACTTCTTCTTTTTTGTTTTTTTTACCCTAAATGCTAACACCAGCATGCTAACATGCTCATAATGCCAATGCTAACAGCCTGTTTGGCAGGTTTAGTGTTTACACCTTGTTCACCACTAAAGCTAGACTGACAGTAAACAGGCCGGTCTTGGTATTGACATCTACGTCACAAGGGTGTAGGTTTGCATATGGAACATGTCTCCTGTCAATATTTGAATGAACTGTATTTGGAGTGAAGTCATGTTCCCTCCAAGAGGCTATGTCTCCATGACGACTGATTTATGCCAGCATGTCACCAGGAAAAATGTCCACTGATGTTATTTAACCATGTTAGCTAGCATTAACTAGCAAGCTAACTGTGGCTTCTGTCTTCTGAAGGCTAGCAGTCAGGTGGCTAGCAGGTGTAAATATAAAATGGCGGCTGTATCAAAGTATGAGTTGGATTTCTGTTTGAGAAAATGTCACAGTTGATGAATTATTTTGGAGTAAGCAGAGCAGCTGATGATGAAACAGATGCATCTTCAGGGTTTTAGGTTTTAAAAACGATAGTGTGATTAAATATATGCAATTATGGATTAATTGTAAACTACAAACTTATATTTAACGTAACCACAGTTCACCTTTTTCTGATGTTAATCTTTATGTTTATAAACCATTTAGTTGGTATTAAAAAGTCAACCTCTCTGTTGTTGCCTCCCTACGTTGAGACCAAACCTTCGCCCTTGCTGTGTCGCCTGAACTAAATTGCAGTATAAAAATAAAAACAGCTGACGAGACATAAACATTTTTCTTCCACCAGATCTGGATTATTATCTGGATCTGCACCAAACTCGTAGATCTAAACAACATTAATGTGCGAAAGGAATAATCTCTTTGCCCCCATTTAACTGGACCAGCACCAGTAAATAACTGCCCCTCCCTTCACACAGTCTGGTGCAATGTGCTTGTTGCGCAATCCTCCTGACAATCAAGCAAAACACACACGGGTGAAAACTGGCCACAAAACTGAATGTCATAAATTTTGAACATATTTGGCCGAAAACCAAACAAGTGTTGGACAAGTTCAGACATAAGCTGCAGCCCTCGTCTGCTCTGGATCGTTAAACAGGAATCAACAGCTCGCTTCCTCCTCAGGTTCGGGTTCAATTTCTATTCAACAGGTGTCGAGACATTTCACTCAAAATTCACACGGAGATGATAAACGTGTGTAGGATCCGTCGCCTGGGCAACATGGATGGTTGCTGATATGGCTTGACAATAGAACCACGTGCTGTTAATGATCTGTTATAAATAATTACTGTGGCATGAATGAAAGCTTATAAAGATACTTCACTGTGTGCGTGTGATTACTTGAGGCTGGTTTGTCTCGAGGCAGAAACATCTTCAGGGTCTTTTTGTGGGTTCGGTATTTCTCCTTTATTATTGCGCACAACTAAACACGTTTCCCAGGACGACACGGCGGCAGCGTGTGGTTCCTCAGATCCCACAATCAAATCTTTGTTCCTACTTCCTGACGCAGGAGAATCCCCTCAGATGTCATCAACCCCAAATAATGTCATGCAGCCCTGTTTTTCCGTTTTGAGTCAAGGGGTGACGTAATAGTGAAAGAGGGACGTCACAGTTCCTTTTGCAGTGATTCAGTTGAAGATGCAAAATGACTGAAAATACTAATACTCACACTTTTCAGGAGAGCGAGAGATGGAGAACGGGACGTCCGATGATGTGGAGGCGCTGTGGGAGAAGGTGGAGAGCAAACGCTACGACCTGTGTCGCATCATCTCGCCGTCGAAGCTGACGCCTTACCTCCGCCAGTGCAAAGTCCTGGACGAACAGGACGAGGATGAGATCCTCAACTCCATGCTGCTGGTCGCCAAAGCAAACCGCACAAGTAGGCAGAAAGATTGTGATTGTGTGTGTGTGTGTGTGTGTCTGTTGTTTTCTTCAAGTGTGTTCATCGCTCCTCCATCAGGTCGTCTGCTGGACATCCTCCACACTAAAGGGGAGCGGGGTTATGTGGCGTTTCTGGAGAGTCTGGAGTTTTACTACCCCGACCTGTACAAGCTGGTGACGGGGAAGGATCCAACACGACGCTTCTCCACCATCGTAGGTGAGACACACACCTGCGGACGCGGGACACTTTTGCATATCTTATATATTTGACAGGCACGTTGCATTACAGCTCCACCGATGTGGGTTTAAATGGACAAATTACTCTATTATAGAGTCTTATCACTGCAGACACACCTGCCCTCAGCTATCAAACAGCTGGATGGAAAATAAAACTAATTTAATTACCAGTTATGTGACAGGTTTTCTTTCTTTAGCTCATTGATTTTGTTCAGCTGGTTCAGGTAAGAAGCTGAAATTCATCCAAATGAAGTGACAGTGAAAGACTGGTGCGTTTTATAGAATACATGCTGTCTGTTCCCCCCCCACCCCTCTCTGCAGTGGAGGAAGGCCACGAGGGCCTGACGCAGTTCCTGATGAACGAGGTGGTGAAGCTGCAGCAGCAGTCCAAAGTCAAGACCCTGCAGCACGTGGAGCTCAGCAGGAAGAATTGCACGCTGGAGGACGAGCAGAAGAAGCTACGGCTGGCCAATCAGGAGCTGCAGGCCATCCAGCAGAGTAAAAACACACGTTAAAAGATATTTTTGTGATCATGACATGACCTGAAACCGCCACCCCCCCACCCCGGTGCACCACAGTTGAGTTTTATTAAGGCTCTTGTTGCCAATCACAGCGTTTCCCGAACCCTACATGAAACTAGGACAGTGAGGTGTTTGTCATCGCGTCCTCTGTCCCACTCAGCAGCTGGTTCACCCGACGCTTTCATGTTTAAACTAATGCTAAAAATAACTTTCATAACACTGATGCTTCTCTGACTGACTTCTTCGCTGTACACTTAAATGAGGAAGATGCAGTGCAGTTGCCATGGCGACTTTGTAAATTTCCTGATCTGAGTGAATTCGCTAAATCTTATCACCCCCGAAAAATACCCGCTGCTTCTGACGTTTTCAGTTTAATATCTGTAAACATATTACGGTTCAGCTTCTTTTTCTATATCCATCAAACGTACAGAAGATCATTTATAATAAGAATTAATAAAGAATAGCTGATGTGCAGCCGCTTAATAAACGGATGCACTGAAGCGAAATCAAAACTCTTTAGTTAAATTATCCTTCTGAATTTTGTCTCCAGTTTTTTTTGTACATAATTTGTATTATACTGTTAGAAATTCATATTTTCAAAGTGGCCGTGAGAAGCTTTGAAGAACGATTTGTCTTAATTTAGCTGCACTGTATCTACAAATGCTTCAAATGACGTAGAAAAAAAACTTTGATGAAAAGGTCTTTAAAGTTCATGTAAAACCCGTAGAGTGAAATTAGGTGTTCGAAAACAGAACTAGAAAAGCACAGTGAAGTTCAAAAGTTCAAGAGATCCGGTGTCCTGATGCTGCACAACAACATAACACTTAAAAACACAGAGACAGCACGCGCCTGTCGTGTTAAATAGTTTGCACATCAGACTTTGTTACATTTGGGATTAAAAAAAAAAAAAGTAAAAAGTGAGCATAATATTTTATACATTTTGCAGTGATGAGTGAAACTGTGTGTGCGACACTGAGCGTGAACACTGACCGACTGTGGCCGGTTCCGCAGGATACAACAAGCTGAAGGAAGAGAGAAACACCTACAGTGACGAGCTGCAGAGAGTCAAGGACGAAAACTACAAACTGGCCATGAGGTACGCGGCGCTGAGCGAGGAGAAGAACATGGCGGTGATGAGGAGCCGAGACCTGCAGTTAGAGGTGCGAGAACGTCACCACACTTTTACTCCTCTACAATTAAAAAGATAAATATTCTACTTTTGACTTCTTATGTGAAAGACTCTTACTTTGAAGCAGAGCTTTTAGTCAGAGGAATGAATCTTCTTTTATTTTGAAAGTGTGAGAAAAACCACTGACAGTCGGCTCCTCCACTGTCGGCCATGTTTGAACCTGTCAGTGTCCTAACGATGGCCACGAGATAAAGATGAGGAAGAAGATTCTTCAAGTTCATGTTTAACATGTTTAAATTAAATAAAGATTCCTTTAGTTTGAAATGTTTTCTGTGTTTAACACGAACAAAGTTCATCTCTACCTGCAGAAATCTGCCGTCCCACTTTAGAGAGCGTGTCCAGGTGTTACATGTCTGTTTATGTCCAGATGAACAGTTTGTAGTTGGCGTCGTGTTGTTGGTTAAATTGATCAGAAGTATCTGTACTGTGACTCAGGTAATGCAGCTGTGAACTTCCACCTCTGATGAATCATAATAAAACAATGACAACAAGCTCTGAGGAGATTTTGAGAGCATCAGGCTTCAGGCGGCGTATCTACGTCAGATCATTTGTTCTCTTTGTGTGCACAGATCGACCAGCTGAAGCACCGGCTGAACAAGGTGGAGGAGGAGTGCAAGATGGAGAGGAGGCAGAGTCTCAAGCTGAAGAACGACATCGAGAACCGGCCGAAGAGAGAGCAGATCTTTGAGCTGGAGCGAGAGAACGAGATGCTCAAGATCAAGCTACAGGATCTACAGTCCATCATACAGGTAAGGACACACACACACACACACACACACACACACACACCTGCAATAATAGATTTCTTGGCTTCTTCTTTCAGAAACTATAAATAAATTTGAAGTCGTGTTTCTGGCTCTTAAGATAAGACGTTGGTTAAATGTCCCACTAGCAGGTTGTACAAGGTTCATATCCAACAATGTGTGTGTGTGTGTGTGTGTGTGTGTGTGTTTTTTATATCCAGCCCGGCCCCCTACCCGCATCAGACAAGGCCATCCTTGATATTTTGGAGCATGACAGACAGGAAGCGCTAGAAGACAGACAGGATCTGGTCAACCGCCTCTACAACCTACATGAAGAAGTCAGACAGGCAGAGGAACTACGAGATAAGGTAACACACACACACACACACACACACACACACACACACACACACAGCCTACATACTCATAAAGGAGGTAACATAAGTGGAAGTTAGACGAGTTGACGAAAGCGGTTGCTTGTTTGAATGCACGGTGACGAATGTGAAGCGGAGTCGGACCGGGAGGAAAAACAGGTTTGGAAAAAACACACCAAAGAAACATAAAGCCTCGAGCTGAGAGCTGAAAGCCCGAGAGACCGTCTGTGTCAAACACACCCTGAGCTGAAACCCCCATCTCAAGCCTCTCTGCCCTCTCCGTCTCTCTTTGTTCCTCTTCCCCCTTTCGGCCTTTCTATGCCGAATAATCTCTAAATAACTCCACTGGTGTTGTGTGTGTGTGTGTGTGTGTGTGTGTGTGTGTGTGCGTGTGTAGTATCTAGAGGAGAAGGAGGATCTGGAACTGAAGTGCTCTACGCTGCAGAAAGACTGTGAGATGTATCACAACCGCATGGACACCATCACCATCCAGCTGGAAGAGGTGGAGAAGGAGAGGGACCAGGTGAAAACACGTGTACACACACACACACACACACACACACACACACACACACACGCGGAGTTGTAGTTGCTCACGCCCGTTCCTCCGCTGCTGCAGGCGTTTCGAGCCAGAGACGAGGCCCAGCACCAGTTCTCCCAGTGTCTGATTGACAAGGACAAATATCGCAAACAGATCAGAGAGCTGGAGGAGAAGAGCGACGAGCTCCAGATCGAGATCGTACGCAAAGAGGCCAGGCTGGTCACGCTGGAGTCTCGTCTGCGGCGGGTGTCCAAGGACATCGTTCTGGACCAGGTGAGACGCAGCAGAGTGGAAACCAGTGGAAACGTGTCACTGCATGTCTGTTCTTAAAAAGAAAAGTTACGGTGTTTATTAAATTTTTCTGTTTTCTGTTTTTTTTTTTGTGCAGACTCTGCCGAGGGACCTGCCGCCGACCATCATCTCTCAGGGGGAGGAGTTTAAACCTGCCCACGGCCAATCAGAATGGTCCAGCGATGAGTCGCCGGAGGAGAAGTTCTTACCGGAGGAGCCTCGCCTCAAACGCAGACCTAACCTTAAAGCAGGGGTCAGCCCCCGTCCGCTCCCCCACACTTCCTTATTCACTCACTCACTCACTGCACAGGGATAGCCAATCACAGACGAGGATTCACCCGAACATCTGCCGTGTTGTTAATTCTTTGTTTTTAAATCCTTATTTGCTTCATATTTTCAGTATCAATTTACATCTGTAATGAACAGTCTAATAAGATCAAATCAAATGCACATAATCGGTTAAAAAAATGATCATTTGGCCCAAATGCTGAAAAACTGAAGCCAAGTTTTCAAATGACTGACGTGGATGAACTGAAACGGGTTTAACAAAGTCTTCAGTTCATAAAAAATAGAGCAATATACGAGTGAAATAGAAGAAAAATGTTTAATAAATGTCTAAAATGAGATTTTGTAACATCACTGAGTCGAAGCGTTGTCTGTCACTCTGGTTTAACCAGATTTTAGAGTTCTGGTTCGAGGCATTCACGCTCCGGCTTTGAGTCACGTACAATCTCACACGAATAAGAAAGGGAAAGTGGAGAGTCGACAGATTTTAACAACATATAAACCACATTTCTACGCTGTGTTACCGCAAAGATATTAATAGAAACATCCATCGAGATTTCGAGTAGGAATAAATATGACGGGTTTTACAGTCACTGGCCTCATGTAGAGAAAGTCTACGGAGTCCAACGGTTATTTAAGATTTATTTGTCAAAAGAATAAACAAATAAAAGTAAAAGTTTTTTTATGTTTTGTCTTTTAGATCAGAGTTAAGTCTCCAATCTGTGTGCCCAAAGACAGTCACGTGAACTCAGAGGTCGCTCCGCCTGCAGGTAACACTCACGTCATATATTTCATTCACACCTTCACAGCGGCGCCTTCCTTTGTCCACGTTTATCCACGTTTGTCTCCGACTTTCAGTCAACGGAGGAGATTTCCTGGAGATCCAGATGTCAAACCAACGTTTCAACTGCAACTCCCTCCCTCCCTCCCCCAGCTTCCCCATGTCCCCCACATATCCTCCCAGCTCGGCTCCCCCGCTCTCCTCCTCCTGCCCCTTTCCCTCACAGCTTCCTTTCTCGGCGATGGAGCTGGGCGACAGGCCCAACATGGTGAGGTCCAGAGTTTTACCTGAGACTGGAGTGTTGTGTCGCTCTCTGCTAAGTGTTGGGTAGAAATGCTTAAATGTCGGCCTCTGCTTTGCTCCAGCTGCGTTACCGTAACGACAGCATCCTGTCCACGCTCCCTGAGCCACCTGAGACGGGATCGCTGTATCGCAGAGAGAAGGAGAAGGAACACGACTTCCACCCTCGCAGGTAGTCCCATCCCTTTCTCACGTCAGCCAATCACAGAGGTCGCGTGGACGGAGATGGTTCTATGTCAAACATATTCTTCTTATGAATAACTTAAAAATAGTCTGATGTTTTGTCTCTTTTAGTCTCTTGGACTTTGACAGTGACAACATGGAAATGGAGTTTGGTAAAGTTCACTTTTACACATCCCAAAATCACACGAATGATGTTTTTGATCTGGACGTCTGTATTTATCTTCTGTTTGCTCTTTCCTGCCTATTTGTCTGTCTGTCTGTCTTTTCTTTCCCCAGGCGACGAAGAGCGCGGTCCTCCTTCGGTCCACTCGTCTTCCTCCTCCCATCCGTCTGAAGGAATGGACAGCTACGACCTGGAGCAGGTCAACAGCATCTTCAGGAAACTCTCCTTGGAGAGGTGAAGCACAGACACTCATGCGCTCACATACACGAGAATCTCTGCAAGTCACACATACTCATCTCCCACATCGGTGTGTGTGTCTGTGTGTGTGTGTGTGTGTGTGTTTGTGTGTGTGTGTGTGTGTGCAGGCCGTTCCGTCCGTCTCTGTCCTCCTTCTCGAGGATCAGCTCGTCCCTGAAGCCGGTGCAGGAGCTGTCGTTGCTAGGCGACAACCTTTTAAGTGACATCACTCTGGTCGGCGGCAACGACAGCGGGATTTTCATCTCGGCTGTCCAGGCGGGTTCCATCGCCGAGAAGGTCGGGCTGCGAGAAGGTCACCACCTCCTGTTGGTATGGAAACGTCACATGCAAACGTTCAGTCGAGTTCACAGTAAATACGTAGAACTAGTGAGAAGCTAAAACGTACATGGACGATTTCAGAAGAAGAAGACTTTATATTTTTACCTTTATTTGATCACGTGTCACATGTGTTGTAACATGTCGCAAATAATAGTAATCCCATATGTTTTACATGGGACTTCACACGCTACACCACGAAAATGTTCCAAAACCACGTTTCCCATGTGCCAGCAAATATTTATTTTAATAGATCCAGACACGTTTGTTTTGTTTGCTCTCATGTATAATAAGCATCTTCTGTAAGTGTAGGACTAATGTGCAAAATTAATTATAATACACCAAAAACATGACTGCGTTAACCATCTGTCTTGTGCTGTGATTGGCTGACCAGCTTGAGGGTTGCATACGTGGGGAGAGCCAAAGCGTTTCATTGGATACCAGCACTCAGGAAGAAGCCCATTGGACGCTGCAGCACTGCACTGGACCGGTCCAGCTGCACTACCGAGCCAACTACGACTGTAAGCTCCGTTTCTATGGGACTAATATGTACATGTATCTGTTTGTGTAATATTCACATTCTATAAATTACTATAAACTCAACCGCGTGTTTCTCAGCTTACCGGCGTCTTCAGAGGGATCTAGCAGAAGGCACACTGGCTTCTGGAGACTCCTTCTACATACGGGTCAACCTCAACATCTCTGGCCAATCGGACAACTGCTCCTTGAGCGTGCGCTGTGATGAGGTGGTGCACGTCCTGAACACCAGGCACCAGGGCCGCTGCGAGTGGCTGTGCACCCGTGTCGACCCCTTCAGCGGCTCCGACCAGGGCGAGCGCGGCACCATCCCCAGCAACTCACGGTACACAGCAGTTCCTTTAAAACAAATAAAAGCACCGACTTTTAAACATACAGGTAAAACTTAAGTTTTGCTATTGCTACATAGCTAACGTTAGCATGAACAGCTGTTTACTTACTAGTCTAGGGTGAAACGTTGCGAGTTCAGCATCAAACTTCATTCCTTTACTCGCCAACAGCTGTCTGCAGAGGTGGAAAGCAAAGCTAATGTTAACTCCTCTCTAACATGTGTTTTCTGCTACTGAAGTTAGCATGCTAACCGGCTAGCCTCGGTCTGTCTCCTCACTTTCTGATAGCGACTCACTGTAGCTTCCAATCTGCCCTGAAGACGTAGCGATGCTCAGACGGCATATTATAACCTCTGGTCAATCAATCGATCAATCAATCAAACTTTATTTGTGTAGCACTTCTCGTACAGGTTATTGCAGGTCAAAGACAGAAAACTGACATTGAGATACAATGAAATAAATTCAAAAAGCTACAACAAAATAGATATAAAATAGAATAAAATACATTTCACGATGTATAAACTGGTCAATAAGTGAATAAAATAAAGTGACTAATGACTGAAAACCATATTAAATTAAAAGCCAGGCTGTAAAGCATCGTGTCACGCAGACACAGTGATGGCCCAGGTTCCCTCCAAGAAACAACGTTCAGCGGCAGAGAGAACTTACAAATGCTGGAGGTGACTGACTACCATGCATCTGTTCTGCTTTAGTGCTTCATGATCCTGCACATGATGCAAAGGTGATGAACAGCTGAGCAACAGTTGAGCAACCATGCAAAGTTTAGCAGCTTTAAAGGGTCTGCATCTGCTTTCAGGACGTAAAGTTTGTGGACAACAAGAAGCACAGGAAGAAGCTGTTCTGGGAGGACAGACCCTTAAATGATAATACATGTGATGTGTTTTACAAACTGATGAGGACGTGATTATGTGTGTGTGTGTGTGTGTAAATGTGTGTGTAAATGTGTGTGTTTGTAGAGCCCAGCAGCTGCTCCTGGTAAAGATTCAGAAGTTGGTTTGTCGAGGGGGGAAAGAGGAAAATGAAAGCCACCGCAACAGTAGGGTAAAGAAACATTTGGAACTATTTTCTCTTCATCACACACACACACATATATTTGAATCTGCGTCACTAATACACCGCCGTGTTCCTATTTAACTAGAGCAAAATGCTAAAGGTAACTCCTCTGGGGCATGTGGTACGTATGGTAGCTGGGGAGTGTGTGCAGGATGTGAGGTGGGTGAGGGAACATGTTCTTGCGGCTGTGTTAACAAGACCTTCTCATTATCAGGACATCTGGATGGAAGCTTTTAGACAGGGGGGAGAAGGTGTGAACCTCAGGCTCTCTTTCACATCTCTCAAATGTGGTGCATTGCACTTTGTGACTGTTTGCAGAAGTAACGTACATGCCACAACAGACCACTATACAGCAAAGGAGGAATGATTTTGGAAGCAGATAAGGACTGCAGTACATGAGTAATTATTCTGCACAAGGTTAAAACAGTGAAAGGTCATTCAAGCTGAGATGTGTTCAGAGGTATCCACAGGGCAATGTAAGCACCGCTGGTGGTCTAACACATGAGAGATGTTGCATGAAGTCTGGGTTTAGCTGGTGATGTTGCCACAAAATCATTTCGTCATCGGATTCTTCATTTTACACAATATTTATTGCACATGCGATTTCTCTGCAGTTATTACCGTTCAACTGTTTCCAGCTTTGTTCACAATCCTGTCTCTGTGTCTGTGCAGAGCAATTTACTGCCAGACGAGGCCGGCCCGTTGCCTGACCCTAAAGCCAGCCCACGCTTGTCCAGAGCCAGCATCTTCCTCACTCAGATCATACAGGTAATGAAACAAACAAGCCAAAACCTCCAGTTGTTCAGCGTCTCTGCGGAAACCCGTGCTACAGCCTGCAGCCTCAGACGTCCTGTAACATGAATACAGCCTCATTCGTTGTAAATACTGAGGCTTATATAACTTGAATGCTTGTCTGCAGAATGTGTGTCATTGAACAAAGCCGTAGATCTAAGGTGCTTCTCTGCGTCTGTTTTGATGTGTAGTTTGTCAGCAGAGTGGATATCAAGTACAAGCGAATGAACAGCAGTGAGCGCGTGAGAATCATCAACTCAGGCAGCACGACACTATCCAGACAAGGTGGGTACAAGGGGATGCAGGGTAGTTATGAAACCCATTTGCAACCACAAGAAACAACCAGAAAAAAAAAAAAAAAAGAAGAAGCTATAGTTCATTTTTTAATAAAAAATATTCATATACAGTATTTGCTGCTTAAGATTCACAGCTGAAACATTTTAAATAGTTGAAATGTGGAAACGAAAAGTTCCATCAGTTGTATTTAAAATAGGAATCGACGCACAAATAGTGAAAGAAGTTGAATTAGCACCTGAAATATAGCTGCTGATTTTCAGTTGAAGTGTAAGCGCTGGGTGAAGCTGAAATATCAGTTGAAATATCAGTTGAAACTGTTGAGATTTCGGTTAATGTGAAAGCTCTGCCAGTGGTTTAATTATAAGATGTGAAAGTGGCTAAACTGTCAGTGGAAGAATATATTAGCAGATCAATCAAGTGCCATTTAAAATGTAAGACTGCTCCCAACATAAAAGTACTAAAAAAAAGATGAAGATGTTAAAGTTTGAATGAAGTTTCTAGAGAAAGTATATGGACGTTAGAAGCTCCAAAGAAAATGTCCAGAAGAAGAAAAATATTAACAAATAAATAAATATGAGAAAAAACCAGCACTGCATTTTTATTTTGTTTGTTTCATTATATTGTATGAGGTCGTCCATAATAAATACTGCAGAGAAGGAGCGTTACTCTTTAACAGATAAAGATAGAAACTTCAAATCACCTCTAGAGCAACTCAAACAAATTAGTAGAAACTTTTTCCTTCTTTACATAGTTTACAGCTTTTATCTGTAAAATAAAGAAAAATTCAAGGTCTGTTTTTTTGTTTTATGGGCTGTTAACCTCAATTACACTGTAATGAAGTCTTTTATTTAGTGACATTTATAATTAGCTGAGGTTATGCTGATATGTGCAGCACTTTTTTACAATTTTAGTAGGAAAACCTCAAAAGGTACAAAAAAAAAAATGAAGAAGTTTAATGGAGGGTTGGACAAACTTTAACATGTAAACGAGTTAGCACGAACAAAAGCCAGGTTAGCTGAAGCTTCTAATTCCTCGATCCGGGGATTTAAATGGGATGACGTGGTTAATAGCCCACCTCTTTAAACCGCCATGTCTCTCCGTCCGTGTGTGTCTCACCGTGTGTGTGGTGGCTGTAAAACAGATGCTGCTGACCCGGACAACGAGCTGAGCAGGGCTTTGAACCTGATTCCCTACAGTCCCGTCACCCCCCAGAAGACCCAGAGGAGAAGACCGGTCCTTTTCACTCCCACTGCTCTGGCCAAAACCATTATCCAGAAAATACTTAACATGGGGGGGGCCATGGAATTTAACATCTGCAAACCAGGTCAGTGTGTGTCAGCGCATCTTCAGTGTGTTCACCTATTGTAAGTAAGAAGATAAAAGAAGTCAGGCCAGGTATTGTACTGCACTGTGGTGTAAATGTTGAAGTGTAACCAGAGAGACAGCGGGGGCAGGATGGAAGATGGCCAAGCTGATAATGAGGCTGATGATGACGATGACACAGAGGAGTTTAGATTCCCGGTACGTGATAAGAGTCAGTACCGTCAAGCCCACAGAAAATCAACGCTCCAGTCTCATGACAAACCGAATGTTCCCTGGACGGGGGGGGGGGGAACATCTGGCAAACCAAGAGACTGTGTGGTGTCTTTATTATGTGGAGATTCCCCAGGGAAATAACCTCAAAGGGTTTCTGTTCCTCTTGTGCTAAATGTGCTGTGGTGATCATTAACATATGAACACCATTTTTAAAGCCAAAAATTTCTCAACAATTTTCAGAATTTACATAATTTTCCCTCTTTATTCTCCTCTGCTGTGTAGACACCCTGTCCAAAGAGGAGTTTCATCTCAAACAGAACGTGGAGCCCTTCATTCACTACAAAGAGAAACACGCCACGTTCGAATGCATCACCCGAGAAAACATCGAGGCCGTCGCTGTCAAGGTAGGCCGTTATATGTGCGTCTTCGCATGCATTTACCTGTTTATTTGTTTGTTTCTTTAAAAAAAAAATGCCCGTGACAGTTAGATGCCTTTGCATTCAAAAGAACAGTTTCAAATACCACTCTCATGTCTCTACAGGAAATACAGTATATAGCTGATGAACAGCAGCTGGCTAGCGTAGCGTCACATAAAGACAGGAAACACAGTTAAACTGGGTATTTGTAAGTTTTCTCTGCCGCAGAATGTGGTTTCTTGCCGAGGAGAAGGTGGTGGTGACTGCCGCTTGACAACAGCTTCAGCCATTGTTGCGTTTACAAGTCAAGAGGATATAATACTTCCTCTGAGCAACGCTAAGTCTTCAGGGCAGATTGGAGGCTACAGTGAGTCGCTATCGGAAAGTGACGCGACGGACTGGGGCTAGCTGGTTAGCGTGCTAAATTCAGTAAAAGAAAAGACATGATAGAGTTAACATCAGCGTTGTTTTCCACCTCTGGAGACTTGTAGGTAAACAACTGTTAATGCTAACGCTGGCTATGTAGCAATAGCAAAACTTACCAATAGCACCTTTAAAACTGTTAGCCTATGGGGCGTCATGTGGCGTAGTGGTCTAAGCAGGCGCCCCTTGTGTAGAGGCTACAGTCCTCGCTGCAGTTCGCCCTGGCTCGAGTCCCGCATCGGACGGCCCTTTATTGCATGTCATTCCCCCTCTCTCTGCCTCCCCATTTCCTGTCTCTCTCTACTATCCTGTCCAATAAAGGCACAAAAAAGCCCCAAAAAATATACAAAAAAAAAACAAAAAACTGTTAGCCTAGCTTGGTCTAAAGGAAGGTTTCAATTAGCGAGCTGGTAGGTGGATTTTGTTACTGTTGCACAGAAGTAGGCTAGCTGTTTCCCTCTGTTTCCAGGCTTTATGCTAAGATAAGCTAACTGGCTGCTGGCTCTAGCTTTATATCTACAATATAGACATGAGAGTAGCATCAATGTTCTCATCTAACTCACATTGATAAAGTAAATAAGCGTGTTTTGCATGTCGACCTTATTCAAAGGATGTAAAAAGTATCACCATGTGCTTTTAAATCTTATCATCAGGGAAATGCCCTCTGAAAAAGAAATACTTTTTTAGTGTGATACAGTACCTCATCTATGTACTCAATCATGTGCTGTATGCACGTGCCCGCAAGCGTACAGTGTATATCTATATTTGTCTGAAAAGCTCATTTTTCCACCCGTCACCAGGGCAAACACTGCCTGCTGGAGGCTGAGCTGAGCTGCGTCAAAGACCTACTACGGCGAGAAATCTACCCGATCATCATCCATGTCAAGATTTGTGAGAAGAATGTCAAGAAGTTACGGTAAGTCTGTGAACCTCACAGACTCTCACATGTTTACCCAGCACCTCTTACCCACAGCTGCAAACCACACTTCTTTTTCCAAACACAAACACGTCAATCCTTTCATGAGATTTTGACTCCAGGCAGGACTGAGACTGAGCCCGCTGTTTGACTCTCTTAAACTGTTTCAGAGCATTTCTATATGAGGTTTACTGAACAATGAAATCCAGCAGTTCGTAGACAATGGGTCTGAATCTTAAGCAGTAGCACAACAGCAGCTTTTTTCTGTGAGAATAAAACATGTTTGCTGTCTGTATTTCAGTCTGGTCTGTTGATGATAATGCCAGTGGAGACTCATTCTTTCTGGTGGATTGTTTCTTTAAATAGACAATCTGTATGTAAACCAAGTAATGTCAGTGTTATCTTTCTGAGAATTACAACAAAGCATATAGACCACTGTTGCAGAGTCTCTACAGGATCTCAACACAGATACTGGGCTCCAAATTTTACCACACTCACCACCACTGTGCTGCTTCCTTCCTGTTTCCTGTCCACACAGGAAGTTGCCTCTGCGTGTGGAGGCGGAGGAGGAGTTTGTGAGGTTGTGTCGGGCCAAAGAGAAGGAGCTGGAGGGCATTCCCTGCCTCTACGCCAGCCTGGAGCCCGAGTCCTGGGCAGGGACGGAGGACCTCATCAAGGTCATCAAAGACCGGATACTAGAGGAGCAGAAGAAGACGGTCTGGGTGGAGCAGGACCTCCTGTAGACAAACACACACAGACACACACAACAGAACATGAACACGTGTAGCTGAGCACCATAAAACACAAAACAATCCTTGTACATCATATGCTGTTATGCATACACCGTATATTTATACTCAGACTCAGCAATGGACACTCAAATTGTTTTAGGCTTAAAATAAATGCATTATATATTTTGTAAATGTGTGCCTTTCCTTTAGAGAAATAAACAGATTGAAAATATAAAAATGGTCTTTATTTTTTAAAAGCCCTTTCAAAGCTGCACTTTCACTTTAAGTCATTAACCTGGGCTACACTGATCTCTAGTGGCTACGGTGAGGTTTTTACACTATAAAAGCACAAGTCAAATCACAGCATATTATATATTTATATGATTTATTTACTTTTATAGGTCTTGTTTTTTGGAAAGTTGTTCTGAGTGTCTCATAAAAATGTTACGGAAACTGAGAGAGAAATGTAAAAAAAAAAAATGAATGAAGTATTATTTTACATTTCTACTATAATTTATACTTGTTACTAAATAAGATTTATCCACCTCTTTATTATGCAAACTTGTCTTGTGACAGTGAAGTTCACCTGTACCTTCATTCACAACTGTATTCTATTTCTAATTTGTCAGTTACAGTTGATTGTAAATTACACACATTTAATTCATCCATTCATTACATTCTTTTGTACACGTATCCAGTGGTGTTAATTGTTGAAATTAATGTAGTTTTAATGTGAAATAGAGTTTTTTATGAAGCTTTGTTGATGGTTTTTATGGAGCGTGTCTGGTATGAATTTTAACAGTAGCAGAAGCTCAGTATAGAAATCACAAAACATTGATTAATTACAAATTCAGGAAAAACTTCAAAGACTTTCTATGTTGTGAATGAATTTTATGTTTGCGTGAAATGATAATACACAATATACTGAATCACAAGCTATGAGACACATGCATGTACCTGGGATGAAGTGGTTAAGGTGGAAACCTGAAGGCTGACCCCGCCCTTTGTCAGTCTACCAGTCTCTGTGTACAGCTGCACCTGGTGAGTCCTGAATGCAGCTGAGGCGGCTCCTCTGTGTCTCCATATTTCCTGGATGCAGAGGGAATCCAGGAAACAGACGTCCAGAGTGACGTGGAGATCCTGGACGAGGAGGGCCGTCTCCTCTGCCCAATGTGTCCTCCTCCAACAGTGGAGCCTCCACTCCTCCCAGGAGATCCTCTGGATCACCTTGGCAACAGTCAGGCCGAGCATCCTGTGCTTCCCCTCCAGTGAGGACCGCTATGCCTCAATGTGACAACAGGAACCTACCGGGGTCCACCTCCAAGATGCGGCGTAATCAATCCAGCCGCCATCCTGGAAAGCCAACACACCAACATTGGTAACCCAGGCAACTGTTTCAGAAGCAGCACCAGCAGCTTCTTTGTCACCTGGAGGGAGAGAGAGAGACAGAGAAAGGTTTCAAATGTTAATATTTGTGTGTGATTTTAGTACACACACAGCAGTGGTGGGAAAGCAGCAGTAAGAACATAAACTCTGCCTGAATTACACCTCATCCGTGAGAAACTCCCTGGTGGGAAGCACCTGTTGGGAAAGAAAACTTCTGTACTGGCTCAGGTCCTGATAAAGACAGAGGGATGCTGAAATCTCCTGAGAAATGTAAAGACCTAGCGCACTTTCAATCATGGCTGATCTCCTAACAGTAATGTAAAGTGGTTACAACACGGTGAACCGATCGACGTGTTTTCACTCGGTCTACTGGGTCCATACAATCTCAAGTTACAGTCATCAGTTACAAAATGAGCCTAGAGTTACTGACGTCACTAGCTGTACAACAGCCGAGAGCAACAGACACAGTCCTACTAACCGCTAAAACGTCTGTCGCCAACGTCAATATCACCACCTGAAATGTTTGTCGGTACGGCTAAAGAGCTAACATTGAAGCTACTCACCAGGCTAACAGGAAAGTTGCGAGCTCGGCATCAAACCGCATCTCTTTCCTCTCAGGAGCTGTCTCCAGCAGTGGAAAGCCACATCGAGATTTACTCGTGTTGCTTCTTTTCTTTGCCGTTGAACGTGGTTTCTTGTCGGGAGCGGTCCTTCGGGATGCAGATGAATATCTTCTTTTAGGAGGTTCAGTCATTCCTGTGTTTCTGTGATGCTAACCTCAAGCGCTGCCGGAAGTTGTTCTTCTTCGTGGGACTGAGGGCAGACTTGACGCGCCGCTAACTCACACAGCGTCTAGCGTCACAAAGTGGTATCACAACACAGGACAGGTCGGGGCTGGCTGGTGCGCATGCGCATTTCAGCAGATAACTCTGAAATACAACAGATGGAGGTCTTGATCATGACATCGTCACTGTGGTTGCTTCACACACTGTTGATAGTGTCAATTCATTTTTTTGAAAATTTTAAACTAAAGTTCTGGCCACATCTTATATTGCAGCTTTACAGCACAACCACTAAAGCTGACATTTAAAAGTGAAGCTACATGTTCTTTGCCCACATTGCAAACTAACTTACAATTTTGACACTTAAGATAAAACAAAGACATTGAGCTTAACCTGACTGATATTGACATATTTAATGCATACAAAACATTTTTATTTGCTTTTACAGTGTATAAATCTATGCTTGGAATATAAAATCCAATAATGCTTTCCCTTATACTTACATTCAATTTGTGACGTACAAACGTTTGTATTTGCCCATTTTGCATTCAGGCCAGTAGATGTTGCACTGTTCACATGAGGATCAAGATATAAACCCTTTGTGGAACCACTTTGCTGAGAAAGTAAAACCTCAGACGCTGTGGGACTCACATCCAGTACCAGGCAGTTGATTTCTGCAAGCAAAGAAGATACAACAGCCCGGGAAGTATTTTACAGTATTTCACTTACTGACCACGGACTGCTCACAGAGCCAGGTGTCAGTTCATTGCTGCCATGTTGGTTTCTGGGGTCAGTATATGAGGTCATGGGGGTGTCTTACCAGTCACCGCATGCTGGCAGTCTTTATGTTACGACCCAGCTGGGGGAAAAGGGAAGCAACATAAAACCAGGTGTTATTGGTAAATCAAATTTACTGATTTAATTTATTGCGTAACCAGAAGGGTAAATAAGTAAACAAAAATACAAACTAGAGGATAACTGCAGTAGGGGAACAGGAACCAACAAAGAGCCTAACTATGCGATTTTAACCAACCCAAAAACACTACAAGCAGCACCCCTGTTCCTAATGTGTCCAACAGTCTTTCTCTAAGGGTGTGATGCTCAATCAGAATTTTAAACCTTGCCCAGTCCCCAACAATCAACCCCAGCATCTCAAACCAAATCACAAATTACACACAAATGTTCACAAAGGCGGTAGAGGCGAGCTGCCTATCATGTCAGCCGCCACTAATGATGTGCGGGCCAGACTCTTAAACTCTCTTCCTCTGATGCTCAAACGGCAACAGCTGTGGTGGGCTGACAGGGTCATTGCTGCACCAATAGGAAAGGCCGGCCGTGGAGTTGGAGGCTCCTCCTCTCGGCTCCGACAGGGACAGGTAATCCATCAGTTAGTGTTAAAATGCCCGAGCTTTGTGCAGCAACCGGCTGTAATAACAAGAACAACTGTAGAGAGACTCTTTGCTCTGCACGGCCGCCTACACCTGCTACCTGACCGCAGCAGGCTCCTGGATACGCCCTACGAAGTCGCTGCTAACGCAGTTAGCATTCATAATTCGAGGTAAACTTATATCTTAGTGTTAAAATAATCTTAGTAGCTAATTGCATACATGTCCAGGCGGGCGGCTAGTCACGTATGCGGGGAGAAATTCTTGTATCGTAGCTG